CTTCCCTTCCTTTTCTCTTCCCTTTCCCTTCCCTTCCCTTCCCTTTTCACTTTCGGTCAAAAAAGTATTTATCTTTTTAAATACCATAAAAGCAACATGGTGTCATACTTTTTTTCCAAATACGTCAAGGAATACGTTTACATTAGAATATATTTAAGAACATTCTAACATTTTCTATTAGAATATTTTCAACATTTCTTGCTGAAATGCTAAAACCCTGCAAAAATGCTAAAAAAATATTTCACATTGATACTAGCAAAATAAAAAGGTTTATTGAAAAATGAAATAATTTCAAAGGGTTGTGCTGCCATTCAGAGGGACCTGGACAGGATGGAGAGTTGGGCAGAGGGGAACCTCATGAGGTTCAGCAAGGACAAGTGCAGGGTCCTGCACCTGCGAGGAATAACCCCAGGCACCAGGATGGATTAGGGCTTGACTTGCTGGAAAGCAGCTCCGCAGAGAGGGATTTGGGAGTCCTGGTTGACAAGAAGTTAACCATGAGGCAGCAATGTGCCCTCATGGCCAGGGAGGCCAATGGGATCCTGGATCCAGCACCAGGAGGAGCGTTGCCAGCAGGTGGAGGGAGGGGATCCTGCCCCTCTGCTCAGCTCTGGTGAGGCCGCACCTGGAGTATTGGGGGCAGTTCTGGGATACCCAGGACAAGAGGGATGTGGAGCTTCTAGAGAGGGTCCAGTGTAGCAACAAAAGATGATTAAGGGACTGGAGCAGCTATCGTATGAGGAAAGACTAAGTGACCTGGGCCTGTTTAGCCTGGAGAAGATCAATAGGGGATCTTATCAATATGTACAAATACCTGAGGGGTGAATGTAAAAAGGATGGGACTAAACTCTTCTCAGTGGTGGCCAGTGACAGAACAAGGAGTATTGGGTATAAATTAAAACACAGGAAGGTCCACCTCCAGGTGAGGAAAAACTTCTCTCCTGTGAGGGTGACAGAGCCCTGGAACAGGCTGCCCAGAGAGACTGTGGAGCCTCCTTCTCTGGAGATCTTCCAAATCTGCCTGGACACCACCCTGTGCCACGTGCTCTGGGTGTCCCTGCTGGAGCAGGGGGGTTGGACTAGATGATCTCTAGAGGTCCCTTCCAACTTCAACCATTCTGTGATTCTGTGAAGTTGTTTTTTACTGGAAAAAAAAAATCTGTTTTTTTTTCTCTGTTAGTCAGTTCTAAAACTTGTCTAAGAGACTGTAATTAACTACTATTATAATTGGAGGGTTAAATTAATTTCTGAAATGTCATAACTGGTATTGTTCTGTTCATTTGAGAGAGACTCAGTATTAAAAATAGGACAACACAATGAAAAATACCTTGGTTTGATCACTATTTTTAATTCTGCTTATAAGCAGCACCTACATTTTGCCTGAACATTCTTCGTATTTAGCCTTAATAGGGCTACTCCTGCCCTATTAAGATAGCTGCAGAGTCTTGGGAAAGGAGGTAAGGAACATCTTGGAACAGTGTATTGAGCTGATGCATCTGCCAAGACCCCCCTGTACGTGTCTCCCTTTTGGGCAGGTAGGAGCACAGGTGACCCAGAATACAGATTCCCTTCCAGTCAGGATTTCTTCATGG